GGCCAAAGGCTATGTGCAGAAACATGGTATTGATTTCCTTGAAACTTTTTCTCCTGTTGCTAGATTTGAGACTGTTAGATTGGTGATAGCATTAGCAGCTCAAATGAAATGGAAGATTTTTCAGTTTGATTTTAAATTTGCTTTCTTGAATGGTTGGTTGGAAGAAGATGTCTATGTTGAGCAGCCTAAAGGATTCATTGTTCAAGGCAAAGAAGAAAAGGTGTACAAGCTCAAGAAAGCTCTTTACGGACTCAAGCAAGCCCCGCGAGCCTGGTATGGTTGACTTGATTCATACTTGCATGATAATGATTTTCATTGCAATGAAAATGAGCCCACTTTGTATGTGAAGTTGAAAGGAGGTGATATTCTCATTATTTGTGTTTATGTGGATGATATTATTTACACTGGTTCTTCTAACATTCTTATTAAAGAATTTAACAAGAATATGTCTGCTGAATTTGACATGTCTGATTTGGGGCTGCTACATTATTTTCTTGGGTTACAAATTTACCAAACTTATTATGGTATTTTTGTTTCACAAGAGAAGTACGCATTGGATTTGCTGAAAAAATTCAACATGCAAAATTGCAAGATGTCTGCTACTCCTATGAATACAACTGAGAAGTTGACAGTAGATGATGGAACTCCAAGAGCTAATGAGAAGTATTTTAGAAGTATGGTTGGCGGATTAATGTATTTGACTCACACTAGACCTGATATCATGTTCTCAATTAGCTTGGTTTCAAGGTTCATGCATAATCCCTCTGTGCATCATCTTGGAACAGCAAAACGAATTCTCTGTTACATCCGAGCAACAAGCAACTTTGGAATTTGGTACAAGTCAGTGCCTAACTTTAAATTGCTTGGTTTTACTGATAGTGATTGGGCAGGTTCTGTAGATGACAAAAAAAAAAAACACAAGCAGATATATATTTAATCTTGGCTCGGGTGCTGTATCTTGGAGTTCAAAAAAGCAAGAATGCACTGCATTATCTTCCTTTTAAGCAGAATATGTTGCTGCTACATCAGCTGCTTGTCAAGCAATTTGGATGCGAAGGATTATGAAAGATTTGCAGCAAGTTCAAGAAAAGGCAACAAAGATCTTCTTTGACAACAAAGCAACAATTTTAATGACCAAGAATCCAGTGTTTCATGGAAGAACAAAACATATTGAGCTGCGTCATCACTTTATCCGAGGTGCTGTTGCAGATGGATTAATTGCTTTGGAGTATTGTTCAACAAGTGATCAAGTTGCTGATGGATTTACTAAAAGACTCTGTTTTAGTAAATTCATGAAGTTCCATAACTCACTTGGAGTTGCAGAATTTGCATCAAGGGGGGATGTTGAAAACTGATGCAAAAGTGGTTATTGTCTTTGTTTAATTTGTTTTTTAGTTTGTTATTTAGTTTGAATAAGTCTTCCTGATTTTTCTTCAGAGAGTGGGGTAGTTGTTATTTTTTAGGATAGTTTGTTGAGTTAGTTTTGCCCATAATTTCAGTTAGAGTACAGTATGTGGGTATCATGTTACAATTCCACTACTTAGAGTTTTAGTATATATTTGTATGTTTTTTCAATGAATTCAAGTATTCAAAAAGTTATCTTTTTACTTCTCAATCACTTTGTTATCTATTTCCATTTTTCTGTTCTTCTCCAACATAACACACATTAATTTTAATTAATAATTACCTTCCATGGAAGCCAGAAAGTCTGTGTCAGAAATGCTGATCTTCTCCAGTTCCTTCCCCGTTAGCTTCTCCCATTTCTCGACCAACTGTGTTTGCGTGAGAATGTTCTCTGGCGGCCTCAAGTACAAGGTTTTGTTCAACGTACGTGGATCGTCTATTGTCTTAATGGCATATGTTGCGACATCATCTTCATCCATGAAAGCCACTGTCATCGAATTCCGATGCAAAACAGAGAAATTAGAACACAAAAATAAACTTAATTGAATGAAATATATATAGTAGTAATGCTGATGAAATTAAGACAGTTATATGTACTACCTTTGACGTTGCCGTCACCGTAGAGATAGACTTTATCCTTTGGAGGGGTGAGCCTTCCCATCTGGGAGAGATTGCCAACGAAATAACCAGCAAAACAATTTGCAACAACGTAAGTGAATGGGATTTTGGCATCTTCTATTGCCTTTCGGATTATCATTTTTTCATCAAATGTGACTCTTCCAGGTTCAAGTGCATGTCCCATTCTTGCTGGATCCGTGCCAAATTCTGAAGGCAAGAAACGCTGAAAACAACAAAATAATAATAATTAAATGAATCATGGAGAATGCTTGCCGTACTCGCCCTTACTGACCTGCATGTAAATTTTCTTTTTTAATATAAATAAAAAGCATAAAAAATGTAAATAGTGCAATGGTTTAAATAATTTAATGATAGTTTATTTTTATTAAAAATAAATAATTTTAAATTTAAACGGTATGATATATAAGTAAAATAAGATAAAAATAAAAAAATGGCAGAATTGTGCAACTAAAATAAAAAAGGGTTAAAGCCAAACTATAGTCTCTCTACGTTTCTTTTTCATTCATTGTCCTCCCTGTACTTTGAAATCATTCAAAGACCTCTCCACTCTCGCAAAACATACTAGTATCCTCCCTTTACTTTCAATTTTCATATTAGTTACCTCCCTCACCTAACGCTGTTATTAATGCTGTTACTAACACTTTACTAACACCGTTACTAACACCAACACTGTTACTAACTATTTACCATCAAACCTCACTCATTCATTAATTTTTTTTTGATGAATTTCAATTGTAGACCCCACAACTTACATATCACTCACGATGTCACCAACTTAGATATGCTCCCAGATTTATGAAAATAATACATACACAATTTATTTTTATCATTGTAGAAGCTATACATTTAAAATTATCTATCAAAAGATTAATTTGAAAGTGTATAAAAATTGATTTTGAAATACCTTAATTATAAAAAAGGAAAATAAAGAAAAATAATTCTTGAAATAGACTATTATATATTGATCAATGGATTTATTTTTTAATTGCTTTAATCAAATTTATTTTTTATAGATAATACAATAAGAGAAATCATAAAAAAATCCGTAAATTTATACATTATAATAATTATATAGAGTCAAACAAGTAGAATTCGGCATTCATTTTGGATTATCCAAATTGAACTGAATTTTTGGTTATCTAAAATAATTTTAGATAAAACTTTTGTACCTAATTTAAACCAAATTTTTAATTCGGCTATAATTTTAGTTATCCAAAATTATTTGGATAATTTGGTTAATTAACCAAAATAACCAAAATATATCCTTATTCTTCACTTTTTGTCATTAAAAGCTTTTTTTAATTTTGATTATTTCTAATCCTTTTGTTCATATTCCTATATATAAATTTCACTAAAAAAAGATTTTTGTTAAAAAAAGATTTTTGTTCGAAAAAATTTCACATAGCATAAAAACTAAAATTAAAAAAAAAATTATACTAAAAAACTTTAGATAATTTCAAATAATTTGGTGTTTCTTATCAATTTATTGCTACATATTTCTTTCTACTAACATTGGATCTAAATATTTTGATATATTTTAAACAAAATAATTACACTTAAGTTAGCGAATGATGTCAAACTAATAAATACTGAGAAAATTTTAGATAACAACAAGATAATTGGCTAGTGAGGGGTACCATTTGGCAAGTTACCAAAAGGGGTTATCACCATACATGTTGTGGTGTAGCTAACTTAAGCAAAAGCGAAAAGAGGTATTCTTATAGTAATTGGCCTAGAATGCTTACTTTGATTTGGTGATTGACTAATATTCTAGAGTTCTATTGTGGTAAATTTTATATTAACTTTTTATGTTATCTTAGTAAAAAAGAAAGTGGATGAATCCCCATGAAAAACTTGTGTTTGTATTCGATATTGTAGGTGTATTTGATCATTTGGTAGATAATTTTAATTATGATTAATATTAATTATAAATAATTATAATTAATTTTTGTACACCTTCAAATTAATTTTGTAGTAAACAATTTTAAAGGCATAACTTTCACATTAGTAGAAATAAATTGTGTGTGTATTACTTTTGTAAGTTTAAGAGTAAATCTAGGTAGGTGGCATGAAACTTATGGGGCCTACAATTGAAATTCATAAAAAAAATAAATAAATTAATGAATGAGTGAGGTTTGATGGTAAATAGTTAGTAATGATGTTAGTAAGGTATTAGCAACAGCATCAGGTGAGCAACAGCGTTAGGTGAGGGAGGTAATTAATTAGTATGAAAATTGAAAGTGGAGGAAGTACAGTAGTATGTTTTGGGTAGGGTTGGACACTATACCATAAATGCCATAAATGCCATGATACCGTCCCATTATCAACGGAAACGGTATGAGAAATTACCATATGGTAGGTCTAAATAGTAATATGACAATACCATTTAGACTTGTGGTACGAGATTGGTATTGGAGGCCATTACCATATTTACCATAGGAGCCTCCAAATTACTGAATTTACCATTTGCCCAAAACTTTTTTTTTTTTTTAAATTTTAGAATATTTTTAATGATTTTTCTCCTAAAACGGTGGTAATTTTTGTAATTTTACCAACAATTTCACTAATTTAATATGGCTCTGCAAATGTTTTTTTATTAATATGATTTTTTTTGTTAATATGTATTACGTCTTAAACACAAACAGTATATAGTGTTTGATCATTCTTATAGTCTTTGCACAGCACTCACTATCACTAACTATACTCAGCTCAGCTAAGGCACTTCACAATGGGAACTTGGAAGCTGTGAAGAATCAGTGGATTCATTGCAGGCCAAGTTTTTGTGTTTTTGTTGATGAACTTGGTCTTCTTCTCTTAGACTGGTAGTTGGTAAATATGTCTACTGTATATTGAGTTGAATGTTGGCTTATTGGTTGTAGTCATAGGCCAATTGTTTGCTTTTTGTTTTTGTAAACTTGGTCTACTTGCACAATATGATTAGTCTTATAATCTTATGGAATCATTTATGCATGCATGTTGCTTTTATATTCTTCAAATTTGGAAATGCGAAATGAATGCTTATCTATGAGAATGGTTATCTATGAGACTAGGAGTTTATTGTTTTATAATATAGTCAATTAATTGCTTTGCTTGGTTCATTAATTGTGCATCATAAATTTGTAAATATTAAAGATAGTAATACAAAAAAAAAATGATAATTTTGAGCTTTTAAGATTAAATTTTGAATAACTTGAATTAATTGATAATGGAGAAAATAAGTTTAAAAATAGTAATATGGGATGGTATTGGTAAAGCAAGTTTCATTACCGTTAAAAACGGTTGATAACCATTACCATAAAATCATCAATTGGTATGGAAGTGGTAAATTTTTTTCATTACCACTTAGAATAGTTACCATCATTTGAGAGTGGTATGGTAACCGTATCATACTATGCCCAACCCTAGTTTTGGGAGAGTAGAGAGAGGTCTTTAAATGATTTCAAAGTACAAGGAGGACAATCAACAAAAAAGGAAAGTAGAGGGATTATAGTTGGCTTTTACCCAAAAAACACGTGGATAGCTTGTTAATGATTTATAGATAGTAAGAGCAACAAATTGTTGAGTCGAGTGTAAAGAATTTGATTTTTTTTAAATAAAATTTAAGGTTTAAGTTTTATAAATGAAAAAATAAATGTTGAGAGAGTTTTTTCCTAATAAGATCTGATGCAACTTGATTTTTTATTAATCAAAATTTAATATGATTATCAATACTAAAATATTAATAAAAAAATTTATAAATCACGAGGAGTTTTGCTGGTGGAAAATCAATAAACTTGGTTCCTCCTTTTAGTTGTGGGTATGGCCGCATTTGAATTTGGTAAAGCCACAAAATTAATTTAATATTTTATTAATTAATAATTTTAAAATAATTAATTATAATATTTTAAAATATTTATATAAATTAATTTTAATCTTTTATTATAATAAATATAAAATATTTTATTAATTATTAACTTTTTTTTATAACTAAACTAGAATACAATTTAAACCTTAAACAAATTATGGGTGAGGATAATCACAATCTTCCATTTTTTTTCCTTCCGTCATCTTTAGTGCAGCACTGATTATCCTGACACGTATCACCGTGCCTTTAAATATTTCATTGAAAACTGAAG